TGATAGAATTCCTGTACTGTAAAACTAGTTCGTGTGAATTTAGATATTCAATTGATCCCGTTGCATTAAAGATCATTATCCAAAAATCTTTTGATTTAAATATACTAATGTAATATTCTGAATCACTATTTAAAGTATTTCGATCTTGTAGTTTTGTCATTATAAAGCAAATTATATTTTCACATAACCTAACAGAAAAAAAAAATGAATTAAAATAATAGCTTTTTTGATAAAAATAGCAACATATTTATGATTTCATATGTACTCATTTGGAATATTGAATTTTTCTCCTTTATTACATCCACAAATTTCTCGAACCGTTTGGATTAATTGTTGATTGAGTCTTATTTGCGATTTTTCTAAAGCTTCTTTTACCACATCAAAATATCTCACACAAATTTGTTTTTGGGATTTAGCAATTGAACATGTTGCTTTAAAAACGGAATTTTCAGAACATTGAATTGTTCTTTCAACTGCACGATCCAACAAAGAATTAAAAATTTTGATTCTTTCACCAATTGTAGGATAACGTTCAGATAAGTTATTAAAGACTATTGTAATGAATTTGACCTCGTTGAAATCACTTGCTTTATTCTTTTTTACAATATCTAAATTTTGATCAAACCATTGATTACATATTTTCAAAATTTCTGAATCTTTAATAGTGAAAGTTTTAAAACAGTATTCCAAAATATCAGGAAAAGCTTTCGATAAGTTCAAATCTGTTGATTTAGAAATATTGTCAAGAGCATCAAGAAATTTTCTTTTGTCCCATTTATATTGCTTCAGAAATAACAATATAGATTTAATATGTTCACGTCCCCAATTTTTTCTTGTATTCTTGAGCATATCTAAGCATATTTGGCAAATTATTCTAGAATAACTAACTTGCATTTCTTCAGAAAGGATTTGTACCTGTTGATATAATTGACATGGATTATCACGAGAAAAGTTATCTTCAATATTTTCGAGGAATACAAGCTCAAGTTTTTTTGGTTTGTGAATAATTATATGGTTCCACATTTTTAATAAAACAGAAATGTCATTACAGACTTGTAAGAAAAACT